ACCAACTCATAATATTTCACACTAAATATAAATTACATAAGTATAAACAATTTTATTGTTTCAAGATATTATTATTATTATTATTATTATTATTATTATTATTATTATTATAGTAGTTAATGCTATTTTTTTTGCTATTATATTAATAATAGTTAATGTTATTAATTTGTTTACATGATTACACTTAATAAGGTGTATTAATGTGACAGATTTTGTAACTTCTTTTGGAGGGAAAATAAATGAGGTTTTATTAAATATGTTTTATTTATGAGGTTTTATTTAATGATTAGGTAGCAATTATATATATATAGATATATATATATATGTATTATTAAAAAATAATTATTTATAAGATTCTAAAGTTGTTTGACTATGTTATGAAAACAATTTACTAATTGTTTTTAAAGAAATTTTTTTATGAGATACAAAAGAAAAAGATAATATTGATGTTAAAATACATAACTTGAAACAATTGTTTATAATTATGTAATTTATATTTATTGTGAATTATTATTAGTTGGTATTAGCAATAACTATTATATAATATAATAGAAAAATACATGATTACACTTAATAGGAAGTATAAATGAGAAGTAAAAAATTATTAATAATAAATTTTGTAACCGAAAATGGAGGGAAAATTTTTAGAGGTTTTATTAAATGCTACATGCTAACAATTATATATATATAAATTATGTATCCACTAAAAATAATAACACTTACGATTTCGAGCTACCCAAAAAAAAATTAAAATAAATGTCATGTACCAACATAAAAGGTCATAAATTTGATTCGACAAGGTTTATATTAATATATGGAACCTTCCGATAGCTTCATAGCAAAATCGTATTTTCTTGTCATTAGAAGATCCCTTTTGTTCAACGAAGATGTTCCTCATATAAATAAAACTTATCTCTCTCTTTTGCATAGAGAATAAATGATATTAATTATAATAATTAAATGCGTGACAAAGAAAACTGTCAGACTTACATAAGTTGTTATATTGAGTGTACCAAAACTAATAAAGTTGTAATTTAACATATTAAAATTGAAATTGAGACAACCCAATGGAATAAAATTGAAATTTTGATAAGTTAGAGAACTAAATTTGTCAGCTCCCACATCTAACAACTATTCCGCTGGAATTACTCAAGAAAGCTTTACAAGATAAGTTCGAGATTTTTTATTTTTTTTTAAGTTCGTTCTACCAGATCAATCTTATTATAATAAGAGAACTTATAACCTAATCAAATAAGTTATGAGCTAACTTATATGGTTACCAAACACAGTCATAAGTTATCATCTATGAGCACAAAATTCGCTTAAAATTCATAAATTTTCTTAGAGTAATGCTATAAGTACATAATATTATATATAAGGGTGTACATAATCAGGGGCGTAGCCAGAAAACTTTTTAACCCGGGGCTGCATGTTATTATAGTTATTATTGGAGCCTTGTAGACATGGTCATGGGCCGATCCAGCCTGTCGGTTCGGCCCAAAACGACACAAACTGGCCCGTTGACCATGAATCTTGAATCGGTCCGTGGTTTTGACCACTTCGGTTCATATACAATACTTTATAATTTATACATTTTGAACATGCCATTTCGGTTTTCGAACTGGAACCAGAATCCAAGGTTCAGCTTTTTTATTATAAAAATATTATTTTAATTTTTTTTAAAGAAGCGGACGACCAATAACTAACAGTTCAGTGAACCGGCTCGTACATATGTTCGCGCCGGTTCAGGATCCTCCAACTCTCTGCCCGGTATCGACGGTTTCGACCTGTAACTGGTTTTGGTTATGATTAGAAACAAATTATGTGTAAACACATGTTGGTTTGAATTGGGAAAACTCAATCTCGAATTGCTTATATATTTAAACAAGCCAAACTAAAATAGCTAATCGAACTTGTCGATCGAACATATTTGCAATCAACTTTGTACGAGTTTTCTCATTATCTAGGAAATGATGTGGAATTAACTATTGGAGGCGAAATCAACAAACAAATAAATAAATAAGTAAACAAAAACGGATAACAGACTGTGGAATGAGACGAACCCAATTAAATATCTCAATGGAGAAGTCTGTGTCAAGCTTAATTATCCAGCTCATTTGATATTTATCAAGTCAACTAAAAATTTAAAAGGCAGGAGTGTGGTGGGCTACATTATAAACTCAATTGATAAAATCTAATAAGGTCACAATTGTCATTTGATAATAGAGAGTTATCTTTTTTCCTCAATACAATCATCATTTTTCCACCATTGTTGAAGATATTCTTGAAACATTCAACCCTAAATTAAATGTGCTATACAAAAAATTACATGAGGCTAATGGGTCTATGTATAAAATTTTTTAAAAAATAAAGTTAACAAAAATAAGGGTAGCAAAAAATTACATGGGGCTAGAGCCCACCCTAGCCTTTGGGTGGCTCCGCCCCTGTACATAATACTCATATTGAGTGAGAACTATCAAAAAAAAAAAAAATTTAAAAAAAAATCAAATAGACCTCACTTCATATGAGTGTTATGTACATCTCTATATACATTTATTATGTACTTGTACTTTTTTTTATTTTCTTACTAGTTAAGGTTTACCAAACCTAGCATGAAATTAAACATGGATAAATAAAATTGAGGGCCGTATTAGTAATTTGGTCTCGGGCCCACTAAATTTGCATGCCGTTTGGGCTCGGGCCCACTAAATTACAGGAAAGGGCAGAAAAGATGAAAGGTTAACCCCTACGGCACCTATTCTTAATTAAAATACTATTTTCTTGAGATATGCTATCAAAATGCGAGATGATTCTGTAAGCTCGTGCATGGGATTTTATATTTTTATGCATTCGATAATGATATACATTATTTGTTCGTGCGGATTTATGACATGAAACATATATAATAATATATTTTATTAACATTGAAACAAATGAAAGATAGTAGTGTATATATATAGTACAACAAACATCGGATGGGATTAAATTATTGACATGTTTTTTGCATAAAAAAAGTAACAAACAGGGGCGAAACTACACACACTTGGAGAGGCGCCGGCCCTTCAAAAAAAAAAAAAAAAATTCGAACTAGGGTGGAGGATTTTGCTGGAACTGGAAGGGCGCCCTTTGAACGCCCTTCCGATGCCGGAGTGGGGGTGGTGCGCCGTGGGATGGCCGGAGGGGCGCCACCAGAAATCCGAAATCCGAAAACACAGAGCAGCTGAGCAGGGAGGCATGGAGCCATGGTGAATAAGTTGAATCGGAGAAAATTTGTGTTTGTGTTTTGTTTTGTCGTGAAATTTTTTTAAAGGTAAATTGGACCCTCCCCGAAATGGGATCCTGGTTTCACCACTGGTAACAACCGCCCAAGAAATGAATGATTAATAGTACAAATTAACAAAGATAGGACAACACATCACGATTTTGTTATTTTATACATTATTTTACCTTCAAAATAAACATCATGATAATCTAGCGGTTACAAACTCCGACGGAATAATTCCGTAACAGAACTTTAGCATTTCCCATTTTAATAATTGATCCAGAATAAATTGCATCCAATCAGATAAAATCAGTCAAGTCATTTGAAAGGTCAGTTTTTTCTCTTCCAAAAAAAAAAAAAAGAAAAAAAATCTACCACGCGGTAGATTTTGTGTCGAGCCAAACAATTAATCCAGATTTTATGTTGAGCCAAACAATTAATCCGGACGTACTTTTTCACCAATATATATAATAATTTTTGAAAATGTCATACTTACAAAAATATCATACACAAAAATATTATAAAATACGATATTTATAATATAAATATGTACTTTTATTTATATAATACGACAAGTCAACCCATTTAACGATTAAACGCACTCATCTAAATTAAAAATTTCTCTTTGTAAAAAAAAAATAAAAAAATAAAAATCTACCACGCGGTAGATTTTTTGTTGGGCCGAACAATTAATCAGAGATAACTTTTTCCACAGATATGTATAACTATTTATGAAAATGCCGTACTTAAAAAAATATCATACATAAAAATATTATAAAATATGACATTTATAATATAAATATGTACTTTTATTTACAGAGTACGACAAATCAACCCATTAACGATTAAGACCAACTCACCTAAAAAAATGTTCTTTTTCTTGAGATTTTTACACTTTCTTGCAAGAAGATTCATTAATCCTAAACAGATTACGATGCGCACTACATATATATTTTAAATAATAATAATGAGAAAATCTAAATAAACTTTATAGTATAGCTAACAAAAGATCATTTGCTAATTAACTTACACAGCTATACAATATTTAATGTGATCTTAATAATGTAATTATGTAAATAATGCATCATCACATTATGAATAAAAGCTTCTCCAGGAAACTTATTTTCACCAATTAACTAAAAATATTTCAACAAATCATATCTAGCACGGCAAAATGTTCGTCAATTTTGCAATCGACGAGTTTCAAGCATCGTTCAAAACATTTGCAGTCTTGATAACAGAGTATACGAGTGCTGCAGGAATATGTATTCCAAGCGATACATATCAAAGTTCAAAAGCATCATTCAAAACATTTGCAGTCTGAATAACAAAGTTTACGAGTGCAGGAAAATGTATTCCAAGCAATGCATATCAAAAGTTCGATAAAGAACTCAGTCAACTAATTATCTTGTGTAGTAACTTTGTGACAGTCAGTAAGTCTCACTCTCTCTTTCGAACTGTTTGCTACAAAATCTAACAACACTTGTTTCATTATGGGGACCAAGTTATCCTAGGAAGTTCATGATAACCAAGTGAAGTACCAAATTGCAGAGGACAAAATCTGCAAAAGCACGTTCTGGAGGTAAATCCTGCAAAATTGACAGAAAAAAAAAAGTAAATTTCGAATTATAAGTAAAGCCACTATCATCAACAACTATATTTGTCGGCTATTGGATTATGAGTGAGCTTTTATCAACTTAAGAAATGGATCAACAAAATATATCTCGAGGTAAGCTACCTTGAATTCCTTGTTTTCTTTGTTTACTTGAATCCGAAGGCAAACTGTCGTCAAAGAGCACCAACAATCAAAAAACAGAAAAAAAAAAAGTTTCTCCATATTAGATTAATATCCTGCAAGAAAAGAAATGGCCAGTGCCTTCAACTTACCAGCAAGAACAGCAGTCCCTACACAAGAAAGTACCCCCGAAAGAAAGGAGTTGAAAGGGAATGATCCAACAATGGCCATGTAAAGGACCTAATATCAGCAAAATCAAAACAGCAGATCAGTTTACGAGTAGAAACACAAAATAAGCTTTCTTTAGAAACCGCGTGCATGACGAATCTGAGATCTGCTTTCTCACGTGACTTATTATCAACCAACTCATCTATGTCCAAATTTTATCATTTTTTTTTTTTTAAGTAAAGAGAGAGATATTGCTCTTTTGCGCCACACACATGTTTAAATTAGTAGCACAATTAGGTTCAGAACAACTCTAACTATCTGACATAAGGAGAAAACAATAATATTTGTCCTTAGGGCCTTATCACAAAGAATAGAAGCCCTTTGTCTCCATTGTTTAACCAGCTCAGTGATCCATCAATATTAATATTATAAACATATTAAATACGACATCAAACAGATTAAGAAATCCAACAATTTTCACACCATATGACAAAACCTTCAATAACCAGTCCACATAGTTCCCTGAGATGGCATAAAACAATGATGATAATATGCAATTTCATATTCTTCAATTCTTTATGTATCTTATGTGTCAACATGATCCAACAAAGCAGACAAATGGAGAAGTTCGCGCCTTTCGCTTCAAGGAACTGAGAGTGTATGACTCATGTTTAAGGCAGTTTTCATGTCCAAAGCAAACTCACATAACCAAAAAAGCTTATGATCTCTTCCAGACTTTTAAAAACCATTAAAGACTGAAAAAGTACATGTCATCTAATCAAGAACACGGAATTCAAGGGTTGATAAACAGTAAATTACAACTATGGTATAATGAGAATATTTTTAATGATTCTTATGAATAGCATTAGAAACCAAATATTTTCACCTCCATTCATTTATGATCTGATTACCACTCCCGACTCATTTTCCATCTTACTAATACATCTACTTCGTGCACTCAAAACATATATTTATTACCATCACTATACAACAACTATCATAGTACATGAAAGCAAAGAAATATACAGATCACACCTCTTATTCTCTTGTCTCACATTTCATTAATGTTTCAATTAGAGCTCGAAGTGAATCGACATAACCTTAGAACTTTCTTCATTTTAATATGATGTCAAATTCTTCAATGGAATAATTACCAATCTTTTTCTATCTAGATCCAATTTTCAAATTGAATTAACTGAGTTGAAAATAATGTATGAAATGGACTGTCATGGCCCCATATCCTAACAGATCTATCGCCAAAAATCTAAGCCTCCAACCCAAACACAAACTCAAAATAATCGAGCACATTGCAGTCAAACCCATCATCGTTAAAATCCGAAAAAAAAAAACTACATTCTTCCACAAGAACCAGTTCAAACCCATCATCATCATCAGAAAAAAAAATCGAGCATATTGCACAATAAAACCCATCATCATCAAAATCAGAAGAAAAAAAAAAACTCAAAATTCTTCCATAAGAACCAGCTCAAAATCCCATCTTTACACACCTACCGCACAAACTATTGGTTGCAGAATCAATTAAATCAAATCAACCCAACAATATATTTCAGATCAAACCAGAATAATTGAACGATCAGAAACAACACCAATCAAACTATAAATCAGTGAATAAAGGACCTGAATCACAGCAGTGACGACTGCAAAGACAATGTAGAGATCGATGATCTGCAATTGAATAAACGAAGAATTAGGCAAGAAAATCGTAGATACACTTTCCGAAAATTCAATCACACACGCTACACATAATCGAACACGCTTGGACCTTGAGATTGGTTGGAGTGGCCGCGTAGGCGGTACGAAGAGAATGAAACAGGTCCTGGGCATCCTTGGCCGCCGTCGACGTCGTCGATCTCCCCATTTTTCACACACCTGAAACACGCACTCTCTCTCTCTCTCTCTCTCTCTCTCTCTCTCTCTCTCTCTCTCTCTCTCTCTCTCTCTCTCTGTCTCTGTGATTAGTGACTGATATGGAGACTTCGAGAGTGATAAAAGTCTTCTGAAAGAAAAAGGGCTCTGGAAAACAGTGACGCTGTAAGAACTTGTGCATTCAAAACACCAAAGGCCCATTTTCATGTGGAAGCCCACTTATTGTAGAGGTATATATTTTTAGTTGGGCTTCCTCTAAAGGGTAGGCCTAAAGTACAAATTGCAACATGAATTAATTATTAAGTTTTTTTTTTTTTTTTTCCTCAAAAGTTACAATCTATTAGAAAATGGAATAATTATAAAATAGTAACTAGGTAAAATAATTGTGTCAACTTAAAAAAAATACTAAAAATGTCTAAACCTAACTAATAACTTATTTAATTAGTTTATAAACTTTCTGTATTTAAATATGTTTGGTTTGGTATAACGATTTTTTTCAACAATTTCGAGCTTATCTCATAAGCTACATTCTGTATCTTTTCAAATAAGCTCGTTGAAATTTTATTTCAACTGGCTTATCAGCTAATTTGACCAAATATTTACGACATATGTTTGGTAGAACTAGCAGATAAATTATCTTATAGTTGAAATTTTCACTTCAGTTGGCTTATCAACTAATTTTATCAAGCTATGCGAATTGATCATTTGAGAAAAAAAAGTTCTCTTATGCTTTTTTAATGAAAATCTAACTTTGAGATTTTAGCATTTTGACAATATTTTGGATGAAACTTGGTGTTTTTTGAAAACTTTGAAAGTGTTTTGATTAAATTCAAATTGAAAATAAATTTGATATATAATAGCTTTTTGGAAACATTTTTCAATTTTGTGCGTAAATGTCCATTTGAATAAATAAGATATGTTTGATGTTAAATTAAGAATTAATTTATAAATAACTTGATTTTGTAAAAAAAAAAAACAAATCAAGTTTATAGAAGTAAATAATGTGACATGTAAGAAGTCCAATTGAAGAAGTTCGTTTAAAAAGAAAACTTTTACAAAATTATTAGGTTTAATTGTACCTAAAATCCTCATACTTTGTGTAATTGCAAATAAAACTCAAATTCTTATCTTCTCAAATAAATAAAATTGAACTTTTTTAATTGCAATAGACGCACCTAAAATCCTCACTTTTTTGTGTGTAATTTCAAATAAAATCCTTCAACTT